TCTCTCTCTTTTCTCTCTCTCTCTCTCTCTCTCTCTCTCTCTCTCTCTCTCGATATTGTTGTTGTTTTGCTTTTTTTTTTTGCTTTTTTTTTTCATTTTTTCATTTTTTATTTTATTTTTTTGGTGTGGGGATTACTTTGTTTTTTCTCTTTCTTGTTCCTGAAACAACAGACGGCCCTGAGTTATTGTTCCAAATGATAGAGCTTAACGACAATAGCTTCACGCCTGTGTTTATCTCTTATCATTTAAAGCGGGGAAAGTTGGACGGGTTGCATGGGATAAGATGTGATAAACGAAATGAGGAAGAAAAAGAGGTAGAGTTCCGACGTTTCTTCCTCTCTACCCTCCCCTCCCCCTGCTCTCTCTCTCTCTCTCTCTCTCTCTTCTATTGGGTAAAATGTGTGTTGTATAGTTTTATGTCTGTGTTTAAGAATGCGTGTGTGTGTATGTGTGTGTGTGTTTGAGAGTACGTATATGTGTGTTTATGTGTGTGTTTGAGAGTGTGTATATATGTGTTTATATGTGTGTTTGAGAGTGTGTATATGTGTGTTTATGTGTGTGTTTGTCAGTGTGTATGCGTGTGAGTGGAATCTGGCTCCTCCTATTTGTTTTCTCACTCCACAATCTGGGCTCAGAGAGCAGGCATGAGATTTCCCTCGCCTTGGCTCTCACTGCGTGGTCTTATGTATAGCTTATTATCTACTCTTACTCTTAATTGATTGGGATAAATGGGTGGGAACCCACACACACACACACACACACACACACACACACACACACACACACTCACACACACACATACACACACACTCACGCAGACACACGCACACACATCACACATATACGAGGTGTACGCATACGCAATACAACACAACACATCATAAACACACGCAACACATAATATTATTGTAACCCCCCTCCCCCCCTTCCACAGACACACATAAACACAAAACCTTGACGTAGTAAGTTCATTCTCGTCGGCTGTCAGCTCAGTCCTTCAGCTCCTCCATGGAAAAAGAATTGTCGGCCCTGCCCATTCGACCTATTTTTAGATGTGCTGCCAGAAACAGGCCCAGAACCGCCAACAACACACCCAGCACGATCATGCCCACACCCAGACCTGCCATAGAAGCCTGGGAGTAACCGTCGCTACCACCACCACCACCTCTGCCAGTGCCGGACAGCGCAGACGCACTAGACACTCCTCTATTCTGATTGTACACGTCACAGAATCCGCTTTGAGCGCCGGAGACTTGCGCCGAGTCTGAGGGGCCTGAGATCAAACATGATTTGGTGTCCGGACAGAAGTAAAATGTTCTACACGCCCCGTGGCTCCGAGAGCACGAGGCGGCGCATTCGGACAGACTGACGTCATGGAGTGCTGTGGTTGTGTTGCCCGGGTTCTGCACCGGGCTCGGCGATTTCTGGTAGTCGAAGAGATAGTTTCTAGAGTAGTGCGTGCACGTTGGGCTTTTCTTGACGGAGTTCGGCCTTGTTGTGTAATAGTGAGTTTTGCTCAATGCGCACGTGCCTCCATTATCGGAACAGAAGTCGAAAGACTCACACCAGAAGCTCTTCTCATTCTTACATTTGCGCGCGCACTCTTCCGAGTCTGTCACTGTGGTAAAAGTTTTGGCAGCCAGTTCACTGAGAACTGATTTTCCCGGAAGTTTTTCGAAATACGCCAAGTACGTGCGTACATACGTTTTGCAGTCTATGGCTGGGCTGTTCTGCACTTTTGGCTTCTCCTCCCTTATCAGACACTTTTGCTTTGTGTTGCAGTAGGTGAACGACTCGCAGCGCGGGAGTAGACTGTTAGAACAGGCGGTAGCGCACTCATCTTCGTCGTTTGCGGTTCTCGTTTCTCCTGTGCTGATGTCAGCATTTGGAAGAATGAAATAGTTGTGAAGCGGGGATTCCACGTTTGTGACGCCCTGCAGCTCTGTGCTGAGGTCCCGGACGGAGAAGGCGGTGTAGGTATGATTGAGCCCTGAGTCGGAGCCGTTGATCGTGATGTTGACCTGGTTACTGAAGACTGCCGACCTGAGGAGTGACCAGGCCTTTTTGAGGTCCGGCTCCGGTTTGACATTTACAAGCTTGTGGTAGTGATTGCAGCCAGACGCCGGTTTGAGGTAGTAGTCCTTCGTGACGTCACCTTGGTTGTGACCCCAGTAGAACAGGCACTTTCCCGGACAGAAGTCGAAGCTGTCACACTTAGTAACGGTTGTTTGGTACTTCTGACCGTTACAGACCCTGGCACAGAAATCTGGACTTAGGGAAGCCATGGTACTGTCGTCTGTGGGCAACTGAACTACCTGTTTCTGATTACTGATGGGTACTTTGCTCAAGTCCACCATCTTGCCAGTCGCGGGACCGTAGTTGTCTCTGGCCGGACCTCGGTCCATGAGCGTGCCCATCACATTGGTCAAGCCATCCTCATAGACGACCTGATCCCAGTGGATGCGAGCACGACTGACTTGCGCCATGACAGCCAGTTTCCGGCTGAGGACACGACCCACAACACTGACGTCAGAGGATGACATGTTGGGGCCGCGTAGGACCATGTGGAAGTTCAGCTTCTGGGAATCGTTAAAACAGGAGCGAATGTCGAAAGGATTTTGTGAGTACTGTGGGTTGGGGATAAAGTCATAGATGTCCTCAATCATTGGTAAATTTTGATTCATAGTGGCTCTCCTTAGGAGCTGGCTCTCAACCAGGTGTGATGCACCATATGTGCTCTGCGTTGTCTGATTTGCCGAGAAGTAGAGTTGGACCTGAGAGTGGACACCATCGTCTCCATAGGTAGAATTTACATTCTTTGTGAACATATCGCTCTTGATGCCTCTCACTTCCGCTGCCTTGTCATAGTTGAAGTGACCACCGTCCGCGTGGAAGAAGTCCTGGACGGTCTTCATGTGGACGTATCCGTCCTGGGGGGAGACGCTCTCGTCGTCAAGGTAAGGCAGGCCGTCGTTCCCCTTAGCTTTCACCAAGGCGTTGAACACGGAGGAGACGCAGGATCCGTCTTCCCGCACCTCGTACTTGACACCTTCGGCAAAGTCCCGGACGTTTGTGAGAGAAGAGCTTTGAGCGTTCTTCGGATCGCCATAAAAAGTGTTGTCCGGTAAATTCAGCTTGTCTTCGCGGGAAAACTGGTCATCCGTGTCGTAAAGGACCTTGGTCAGAGAGACGTGAGAAATACGTATATTCTTAAGCTCTGACATATAAGACACGGAGCGAGGCATTTGGGGGGGGCTCTTGGTGGCCGAGACACCCGGGCAGTAGACGCCGACAGGGATCTCGAAATCGCTCTCATACTTTTTGGTGTCGAGAAGTTCAAAGTTGATGTAGTCAAAAACTTGATGCTCATCTTGCAGGTCGGTGCCCGAGCCAGTCTTTCCCTTCATCTCGTACCGGACCGGGGTGGGGATAGGGAGGCCTGACGGCATGCTCCAATCCGGATCGGAGAGATAAATGTCAAACGTGACGGTAGAGTTGGAAGCAGATATGTAGGCGCACTTTGTCCAGTGGTCAACTTTGATCCCCCTCACGGTAGTCTGTCCCACATACGTCGTCTTACCACCCAGCTGTAGGACGCTGGTCGTGGAGAACGTGCTGGTGCCGTCGTTGGCGCTGAAAGGAGCGTCGATAGCAGCGCCACTCAGCACCTGACACTCCCGGTTTTTGATAACGATCATCCTTTGCTCCACGCCGTCCGTGATGGCCGTGTACTCGTTGTCCGGGGGAGTTTGTGTGTAAATAGCGAGTCTTTTGCTCGGTTGATCAAACGTCTCCCTGGAGTACTGAGAGTATTTTTTAATGATGTTCTTGCCTGCGATCTCGGTACGGAACGATTTCATGCTCAAATTTGGCAAAGGTTTACCAATAGTATTCTGAGCGGGCGTGCAGTAAGGGGAAAGGCCCCGGACCATCGCCAAACTCACCGCGGAAATAAACAACTGCACTCCGACCGCCATGATGTTATAGGTAGAAGAAACGTAGTTCAACTTGGAAAAAAAATTGAAAAACAAAAACAACAATCTTGAAACGCTCTGTAGACTCCTCTTCTGAAGTTCTCAGTTTTACTACACTGAAAATTCTGTTTTCCTTTACCCAGCTTGGCTCGGAGACAAATTTATACGGGGATGAAGTTGGAAGTAAAACATGTGGAGAGAAGCTGGTGCTCTTTGTATTAGAAACCTGACGATCAGTTACAGCTGTAAAACCTGATGAAAAATATAGGATGCCATATTAGAACGTGTGAAGGCCAATCCTTCTGTATTCCTATGTACCTGTACTATCTCAGCATCAAATGTGAACCAGTGCGGTGGAATCAGGCTCTCGTCAAAATAATCAAAGTGAAGAAACTTGCATTTTTCCGCAGGTTTGTGAATTTTTATCAAATTTTTGTTGTTGAACTCAAAACCTTTCATGCCCATTAAAGAACTCATTTCTGCGTGGATTTTTCTGGAAAATGTTGATTAAAGGCACAAAAGATGTAAATTTTCAGTTACCACGGACTCTTAAGCTAAGGAAATAACTAATCTTTGGTTACCATTTTCTCACTAATTTTACCTCTGAAAACATGTGACCTTCACCTTCTTCATTCTCAAATATCTCGACTTGTATTTAAGATAAATGGATATTTTTTCATTCAAATAAAGACAAGCGAACAAGCTTTAAGATGATACCAATAACTCGATGTGCCCAAAAATTGACGAGAGCCTGATTTCACCACGCTGCCCCACACAAATGTACTTATCGTTCATTAAAGCTCAACTAGCACAAAATTTTCTTTAAATTTGAAAATGAATGAATGGAGACAATTAGATGGTCTTCGGGTTAATTGATTCTTCTCTCAATCAAAGCATGTCGTTACACTTTAGAGCTCAAATGTACAATGTAACTAAAACAATTTTAACTAAAAGAATTTAAACTTGAAAAGGGAACTTAAAAGTCAAGTTTGAAAAAAGAAGAAGAAGAAGAAGAAGAAGAAGAAGAAGAAGAAGAAGAAGAAGAAGAAACAACAACAACAACAACAACAACAACAACAACAACAACAACAACAACAATGAAAGTGCTTACCTTTAGGTATGTTATGAGCAGGCTCTTCGAGGGGCGGTGTTTACACGGCGATATAAAATGCGTACACAGCAAACACACACACACACAGACACACACACAAAATAGTCTCGGGTGTTATTGCTGAGCTGTGCCTTGCAGCACTTGAGTCAGAGCGATAGTACAGAGGCTGATAAGCTGATAACAGATTGATAACCTTCGAAGCCGCGTTCAATCACTGGGATAACATTTGTGCTATGCTGAGGTGGAGTCGGGCTCTTGAAAGTTTTTTGGCAAATTATAGATTTATTGGTATCGCTTTTAAGCTAATTTATTTGTCTTGATTTTTGTGTGACAAAAAAAACAACACCCCCCAAAAAAACCCACCCCAAACAAAACAAACCAACAAACAAGCAAAATAAACAAAACCAACTTTAAAAAAACTAGATTTAATATATCTTGGATAGATGTCGAGATATTTGGGATTGAAGGAGGTGGGGGTCGCCTGGTGTCTGAATAAAATTAACGAGAAAATAGTCGCTAAAGTTTGGTGAAACTACAAAAAAAACCCCAAAAAACCCAACTTATTTTTATGTGCTCCTGGTCAACTGCTTTCACTAAAATACACACCGGGGTATATTTGTAAATGACAATAAAAGGAGTTGAGTTTTTTAAAAAACAAAAAAGCCAAACAAAACACACAAAAACAACACACAAAAAAACCCAACCGAAAAACCGATAAAAAATTGCCACATGGGCCGAAAAATGTCGATTTGTTCGATTTCATTATTTTGACGAGCACTTGATTTCACCACGATGTAACAGACTGCATGTTTTTATCTATATCCGCAACCCGGAACTCCTAATACCAGTGTTTCATTACTGGTCCACCGATCTCATGAGGCAAGTAGATACAATAAGTTATACAAGGATACAGGGTCAAAGGTCACGTCGGTTCACTACACGTCTGTGTACTGTGTACTCATCTGACTATACGACACACAGCAGTGTGAAATACAGACAAACAGCAAAACATAATAAAATAGCGAAACAGGGTCACCAAAGTAGAGACATAACAAGACATTCGAGTTGTGAACTCAGTACAGACAAATTTAATTCACGTTTATTCACAAGCCCTTTTATACATTATTATGAGTGCATTAATAAGAAAACAACATTATTTTAATTAACCTAGACTATTTTGCACACCGGTGTCGTGTAACTAAGTTGCTACACATAGATTTAACCTCTGTTGGATTTTGTTTTTCTGTGTTTTGACGTAGAGTGCTCAGAGGGGCTCTTATAATTATATTATTGCTCCCTTTCTTCATATCATTTATTATCACTGTCCTATCTTCTTTTTTCCCTCACCTTTACATTTCAACCCTTTTTTTTTCATGTATCATTGAATCGTATTTCTTTTTATTCTGAATACCAATATGCCACACACAGGGTTGTAAAAAAAAGTCAATTTCAGATCTTTATTTTTTAACCTTTTTTTAGACCACCCGTCACGTCACGATGCGATCACAAATTATTTGCGTGCGAATTCAAAATTATCTGCGGGCGGAATCAGTTAAAGTGATTTTCATTTTGCACTTTTAATGAGTGCGCGAGCACAATCCTTTAGTGGGTTCTCACGATGGCGTGCGTTGGTTGGGATATTATTTATGTGTGTGTGTATATATATATATATATATATGTATAACTGGATTCACGTAGTTTGAGTGTCATGCGAAGAGAGTATGATAAATAATTACGATTCTCTACCGAAACCGGTGTACTGCTACTATTATTATTATTTATTTTTTTAAAATTATTATTATTATTATTATTATTT